GTAATGATTTATGCTCAAACCAGAATGTTGGGGATGAGCTTCTTCTTTTTTATTTATTTCCATTAGTCTAATTTACTATATAAATCATGTTCAAAAAAATTTATGCACAAATAATTGTAAGCTCTCTCCATCCCACTTGAGTTGCTTTGATTTTAGTTATTCCTTACAAGAAATTTAGTTACATAGGGTTAATAAAATTATTTTTTCAGGCAACTGAATGTGCCTTCAACGTGTGGTCAGGGCATGGCTACGTTCATCCCATGAGACATGGCTCTGTTCTGCTCTTCAGTTTATCAATGGGGCTCCTGGGATGGATGTATCACTCTGCACACCATCAACCACCTCCATTCCTTGCATCCCTTATAAAGTGAGAATTTAGGTGTTATCAGGTGGTAGGTGTTATCAGGTGGCAGGTGTTATCACGTGGCAGGTGTTATCAGGTGGCAGGTGTTATCAGGTGGTAGGTGTTATCAGGTGTTATCAGGTGTTAGGTGTTATCAGGTGGCAGGTGTTATCAGGTGGTAGGTGTTATCAGGTGGCAGGTGTTATCAGGTGGCAGGTGTTATCAGGTGGCAGGTGTTATCAGGTGGCAGGTGTTATCACCTGCTAAAAACTTGCACAAACTCACCACTAAATTTTTCATGGTATGTGGCTATTTAGGTATATTAAATATTTAATTAAATTTGAAATTAATTAATTAAATAAAATTAATTAATTTTAAATTTAAATTGAATTAATTTTAATTCATGGTATGTGGCTAATAAATAATGTTATTTATTGATCTGAAATAGAATTTAGGTTTCTAATAAAGTTTTTTCTGATATCCAAAGTTATATAATTCAAATATAGTTGCCCGTTATGTAATTTACAATTTTTCATTGTGAGTGAGAACTTAGTGACTGATGAAGAGCTGTGTAACTGTTAAAGTATAGAAATCGTATTGAATTAGATATATTTTATCTAAAATTAAATTTGCATGGGTTGCATAATTTCTGCTTATGATGTTATTAATTTTATTTTAATGGAGCTGTTATTACGCGAGTATGTATTAAGTATTTTTTAAAAGCACAACATATTATTTTTCCAGGCGATGGCATCAGGAGGCGTCAAAGGGTTCTTGGGGAGCCTTGCGCTCAAACTTCTCTCAATAGGGACACGCAGCCCTGCCTCTCTGCCTCGACTCGTNGTTGGTGATACGTGCTGCTGCGCGCTGCAGTATCAACGATAATTTTTAAATAACAAATCACGAAAGGTTAGTTTACCTGGGCAATGTATTTTATATTACCATTATATAGTTTTTTAAATCATTCAAGATGGAGTATTCGAAATTATCAGAAGCGTGTGTTACAGTCTGCCATGTTCGATTGTTTAAAATATTCTCTTTTTATAACTTTTTTATAACTGATAAACTAGAACTGTTTCCTTCCTAGAAGTCGTAATTTCTACCAAGTAACTCATTTCGAAACTGACCGTCTTTTCATTGTGGGACTCTGTTTGGTGTTTATTGTTGGGTTTATTACGCTAAGTGGATTATTTATTCATACGCTATATCCTTGGTCTTCAAGTACAAGTTGTTAAACAAGGTAACCAACGAAAATCATTGTGTTCCTCCTGGTGCTTAGAATATCTTGTTCTTCCGAAGCAACATTTATTGGTGTCTGTTTTACGTGGTGTCTGTATTACGTCAGAAAGTTCAATTTCTGTGCACCAATAATTTGTACACACGTTTTTAGCGCATTTTCTCATTTATTGAAAAAAATGTCCTATTGTGCTCGTAATGTCCGTCCGTCTGTCCGTGACTTCACGTTTTCGTCGACGAAAAAATGCGCTCTCTGTCACTCACTGCAGTGAGTACTGAGTTATATTTTTTTAGCATTGGTCTATTAAGTTTCTAATCAAAGCCTAGTCCTTTGTCTGCTACTTGAGACGTGCGCAGTTCAAGCACAATTCCGTGCATTCACAGGTCCTTTATTTTTGATACATAAAACATTAAATGTATTGGTTATTAAATATTTTAATTAACCATAGAAGATGATAAGTAACGGTGTTTGAATTTAAGAAATATCCCGAAGCCTTTGCTGACATAAAGAAGACATGGTGTCTGACGTAAGCTTTCGTGGGGTTTATTTTATTATGCCGTTTTTTACTATAAATATTTATTTATATTGAACGTGTTTTATTGATAGCCCAAACCTCAGGGGGGTGAGGCGTACCCGCCCACCTAAGAGAACCTCGACGATCTCTGGGAACCCGAGCTATAATTTTATAATTATTATAATATTTAATTGTTATTCATATTCATAATAATACGGTGGATAATTTAATTTAATTTTTTTCATAATAATAATTTAAGTTAGCCTTCCGAGATGAAGTTAGCCCTGAAATGGATTCATTCAGGAAAATAAAAATGAAATAAATTATAAGTCATGTTGTGCAAATAGTGACGTAGCACTGATACACCCCTTAGCCAGGAGCAAAATGGGTTAGGGTGACCCAGTCAGGGTAAGAAGTTCATCAATATTTGGACAAGTTTCGCTCATTTATTTGAGTGCCATCCGTGGTTATCTGACGCCTCCTGCACCACCAACCTCACTATTCATTCGTTAATTTGTTATTCATTATTAATGATTGTTGCTTTGATTTATTATTGCTGTATTATTAGTGTTTTGGTCAACTTGAACGCAAAATGTGAACTCTCTGAGTGCGCTGGAACCGCTCTTTTAATGTTGGTTCATTAAAGAAGCTATCGTTTTGTTATGTAATGATCATTGTGATTCTGTCTCTGTAAAAACACCTTGATATGATACTGATTCATTCTTATTAATTTCAACGTGAAGTCATCGGTAAAAATTTACTTATTTGTTTTTCCCGACAACGTGAACTTATCGGTAAAAACTTGTTGAGGCTATTAATTCTTGTGTGAGTAAAGACAAACGTTTTAAATTAATCATGTATCTTATTAATACATGATTAATTCTTATGAATGATTTCTTATGAGTAATTATGTCTTTATAACGAGCAAGCAGGAATAAATAGATTTAAGGCAAGAGAGTGGCTTAGTGTAGAATCAATCATACGTGGGTAAATGTTTGCTGTCAGGAGGAGTTTTGTGAACTTTACCAGTTCAAGACTATTGTCCAATTCGGTGAGTATTTTCCTCTTGCTTTTTGATTTCTTCAAACAAATTTTTCGTTAATTTTTCATGCTGCCGTCTGAGTTTTTTCATGACGCGCTTGATTAGTTATGCCTTTGGATTTATTAGGTACGACGTTTAATTCTTTTATGGCCTTTATTTCTTTTATTGTGATCGAGTAGAGGTTGTTGCTACATGATGCTTTAACAATAGTCTCCTTTACTGAAATTAATTATGATTAAAAATTATTGTGGAAAGGCTGCTAAACCTGTTGCCTGATTCAGTTCTACGTATCGGCAACGTTTGTATTCCTGGAAACTCTGGACACCCGAGAGTCTCTTGTGTATAAAATATTTGTTATATTATTATCGGTAAGATTGACAGCAACGATAAAGTAATTACAAGAATTATGTGCATTGATTTCAGAGTGATAAAATATTTGTTATATTAATATCGGTAAGATTGACAGCAATGATACAAGAACTGTCTCTTATACACATCTAGATGTGTATAAGAGACAGGTATAGTATAGTATAGTATAGTAAATACTAAATAATCGCTGTATATAATTATAGTCATTGCCGTCATATCTGATAAGTTTCTATTCTCGGATATCTGCATGTCATTCGTTGGGATACACCATGCAAACATGTGTCGTGAACTAATTAAACCAACTTTGTTTATCCTTTTTCAAGCTCTATAGATATTGTCCGTTTTAGACTGAATTAGTCGAATATTTCATCCTTTACGCGCTAAAAATATTGAAGAAGCCTCTGGACAAAACAACAACGAACTCTCTCTCTTTATTAACTGCNGTATTTCGACACGCAAATGTATGACGTCACCATTTCAACCATCAATGAACGCATGGAACTAAAACAAAGCTTAATATAAAGGAAAAACTAGAGAAGTGACGGAATTACCTACGATGTCGGAATATACCGCGTTTACCCTATTAGCCAACTTTCAATGATTCAATCCACCTCAGCCACTTTTTTTTGGTGCCTGAAGTTAAATTTTAGTTGAGAATTTGAGATAGAAAGAATAAAAAAGGGAAGGATTGAAGTCGCCACTTACAGGAATCAAGAAAGAATTAAAGTTGCAACACTCTGAGATTTAAATTAGGAATAATAATTTGTCTTTGTAAGTCAAAACTCAAACTTTACAAGTTTTAGCCATTTTCAAGATCTGTTGCTGGGTAGCTAATTTTATAAAAAGAAAATGCTGCTAACAACTTGAACTTTGATAGCATATCCTTTACTCTCCATGCACTGCATTATTTCAACTGATTTCTGGACAAGCTTCACTGCATCCTCGTCCATCCAACGTACCAGAAACCTTACTGTGTGCGCTTGCAGTCTTCCAGATTTGCAATAATTTCAAAGTAATTTCTAAAATGCAAAAATTTCAATCCAAATGTGTCGCCTTGTTAGCAAGATCTCTGATCTTCTGAAGGCATAAATTTTGCTGCGGATGTGTTGCCAATAATCTTTCAACATTCACCCTTTTTCTGCACCCTGGACAAGACACTATTAGGATTCTAGTTGCCAGTGTGAGTGTGGCAGTGTCTTTCAATACGCAGTCCAGCAAAAGCAATGTGACAATCAAGAAATGTTTTTTTTTTCTTGTGTCAACATATCATTTCTTAACGCAAATTAAGCCTGTGCATTGCAGCACAAAATTATGAATACCACTGGTAACTGGAAAGCAATCAAAATACAACTTGGTTTACAAAGAAATATGTATAAAAAAGTAATCTTTTAAGTTTTATGCACCTCTGGCTCTTGCTTGAATGATAGTAGGTCCTAAGCAGATGGCAGTGCAAGCCTGGGAGTGAAAGCATCAACAACCACACACGGCTCCAGTTTTATTAAAACATACTACCGGCAAAAGAGCTCCACTGCAATCTACATCCCTATAACACGCATCGAACTATAACTTCATGTTCAGAGATCAGATTTAGATCACATTCAGTTGTTCAGGAGTCAGGACAACTAATAGATCCTGTGTTAGCAATAGCAGAGATGTTCATTTGTTTCCTATTTGCTCTGCTCTGGATTTTGCTTTCAACGCAATTCCTGATTTAGAGTAAACTCTGCATTAAGGATTTTTTGCAATTGATCTATCAATCAGACACTTTGTGGATGAATTTTTAAACAAACTTCCATGACAAAGTTTCATAGTACATTTTCCATGCATAAACTTATGAAATCAAAAGCAATCTTGACCAAATCAAAAACAAAACTATTCATTCACAATGCCCTCATGTAAGAATGGCCAGATATTAGATAAAAATGCCTGTGCTTATGGACAATAGTTAAATTGTAAAAAAATTGCCACTTCTTTTACAGATCACATCAGCTCTACAAATCAAGAGAATCAAAGATTGGAAAGATGTTGTGAAGCTCCTGAAAAATTACCTCCGATCTGCAATTTTTGTGGCCATAAATGGCTTTGGCTACATTGGTTTTTTCTGCCTTTTAAGGTCAGATTTACTTTTATATTTTTTGTTACAAAAGTCCAGATGAATGTTTCATAAATATCATTATAATATGGGTAAATATTTACTTACATTTTCTGTGCAATTTTCCAAGGTTTAATGATCTGAAATTTTTTGCTATTAAAGCTCGAGCATTTGAAATAAATTAATCATTTTGCTATATTGAATTTTTTTATATATTCTTTATTCAGTGATGTTTAGGCAACACTTAAATTATTTGAAAATTAGCCCAGTAATTATGACAAGAATTTACATTCATTTTGAATTTTTCCAGACAACTGTTGGGACACATAAACTTCTCGACCATTTCTTTCATGCCAGGCTTTCTATCAGCTCTGATGGCCATCTCAGTAGAAAGAGCATCACGCAGGCCATTGCTGGCTATACATGTTGCTAATATTGTAAGTTTATTGTGCCCAAATGCATTGTGTGCTATGAAGCAATAGCATAGAGAAAATCAAAATCAAGTGAGTGGTAATGTTTTATGCTCGAACCAGCATGTTGGGTATGAGCTTCTTCTTTTTGACTTATTGCCATTAGTCTAATTTACTATATAAATCATGTTCAAAAAAATTTATGCACAAATAATTGTTAGCNCTTCAGTTTATCAATGGGGCTCCTGGGATGGATGTATCACTCTGCACACCATCAACCACCTCCATTCCTTGCATCCCTTATAAAGTGAGAATTGTTATATCTATTTTTCATTCACATATCACTGCTCTAAAGGGAATCAATCTTTCAGTGATCAATCTTTCATGATCAACATTCCTTTGGTGTTCTCAATGAATTTTCCATTCTAGCTCAAAATCATTTCCAACTCAAATCACTTCCAGAATTTTCCAACTCTAGCTGTACTCAAAATCATTCATTTTATATTCAATTTATCCTTTATAAGCTTCTAATTTGCATTTTTTTGCCAGGTATTTTGTGGGGGCAGGAGAGTGTGGGAGCCAAACTTCCTCATTGACGCAATCTGAGCCCACGAGCCAGCAGGGCCGTGAGACTGTGAGTCACAACTGCCGTTGTCAAATTAACTTCATAATTTGAGAAATGCTGTGTTAAAAATTAAGTGGCAAAATTGAAGGTTATAATATTATTTTATTGACAAAGGGTCATTTTAATGCTGTGTTAAAAACTAAGTGGCAAAATTGAAGGTTCAAATATTATTTTATTGATGAAGTGTCATTTTAGGTTTTATTTCCTGCAATTTCTCACAATTTGAGAAATGCTGTGTTAAAAACTAAGTGGCAAAATTGAATGTTATAATATTATTTTATTGACAAAGTGTAATTTTAGGTTTTATTTCCCACAATTTTCCACAGTGGTTTGCACGCGTTTTGTGTAATCCTAGACACAGGAGCTGCCCTCATTCCTCATCATGTCTCCATTACGCTCTAAAGGTGAGAGCTGTACTTTGTTATCTAGAACATTAGGTAGCTAAAAGGGCAGGTGTTATCAGGTGACAGGTGTTATCAGGCGGTAGGTGTTATCAGGTGACAGGTGTTATCAGGCGGTAGGTGTTATCAGGCAGTAGGTGTTATCAGGCAGTAGGTGTTATCAGGTGACAGGTGTTATCAGGCGGCAGGTGTTATCAGGCGGTAGGTGTTATCAGGTGGCAGGTGTTATCAGGATGTTATTACGCGAGTATGTATTAAGTATTTTTTAAAAGCACAACATATTATTTTTCCAGGCGATGGCATCAGGAGGCGTCAAAGGGTTCTTGGGGAGCCTTGCGCTCAAACTTCTCTCAATAGGGACACGCAGCCCTGCCTCTCTGCCTCGACTCGTCCTGAGCCCGACCTTCTTGCTGAAGCTGCTGCTCAACCCTGACCACTTACGGCTCGCGCTTTTTGTAGCGTGGTTTAGTGGGGCTTTCAGGTTTGGTGCTTGTGCCTGCCGACGACTCAGGAATGGAGAGAGTCCGACCAATGGAGCTGTCGCTGGATCCCTTGCTGCCCTTGGCATGTGGTTCAATCCATCACCATCACTGGCCCTGTACTCAGCATGGAAAACGCTCGAAGTAAGCAACAACTATTATTTTTAAGTAAAATTTTAATTATGTACCTCAAGGAGGTAAGTATTAAAGTTGAATTTATAGTTCCATTTCGTTTGGTCTCTGTAAGTGCTATTTGTTTATGAAATTATACTATGTACTTCCCGTTCCATCAATGTGTTCCAATTCTCTTGATGTACATATGTGTTAAAATGGATTTCTTCCATTTGAAAAATAACATCGAGCTTTGAATGCCATCGGAACATTTGACATGAGCGAGACTTTGCAGGTTTTGTGTTGCATGGGAGTAAAGAGTGGGCACCTGCCCGCCGTGCCATATGCTACGGAACTGCTCTACAGCATCATGACTGGCTACCTCTTCCATGTAGCAGCTGTACATCAACAATACATCAAACCATCGTACTGGAGGCTCCTTCTCAACCTCACCGATGGCAGGTATGTCTCCCTACGCCACTCTGTTTAACACTAATTAACTTGCGTGCTGGAGCTTGTCGTGAGTGGGTGAAATGTTTGTGGGATATGTATGCCCACCTAAGATTATAATGAATTTGAGGCGTGTTCAAAACTGCCTCTACCTACGAAATAATTTTTTTTAATTTCTTTCGAAATGTCAGTTTCAGAGACGTACTTTTTTCGAAATTTGCCTATTCTTGCATCACTCAGAAAAATTTCTTTAGCAATGTGAAATGGATTTATATCCACGGTTATTATTACACCGTAAGTAAGATTTTCCTTACTCAAATAAAAACTCCTTGTGGCTAAGCTAGTCGGATCATTCACGGGTGGATGATTTATGTGACTTTTCCTCAGGATGGCGCAGTTCAACCGTCATTTGCTGTACCCTTATAAGATGGACAGCGCTCGCAACTTCAATGGCTTCTGGCCAGACTACAAACTGGAGGACCTCTCGCCAGCCTTCCTCCACGCTTACCCTGATGGACTCGTTTCAATACCTCAATGAACTATTGCCCCTTCATGAGAAAACGCTGCATAAGTTTCTCACAACTTATGCATTATATTATTTTCGCGTATATTTTAAAATTTACGAAGCTACTTGCTGACAGAAGTGATCAATTTTTAGCTTGCAATGATGACTTGTGTTGCACAACACACTTTAGTGTCATGATTGATGTCATCAAGCGAATTTGATGCGATATTATACCATAAGGACGATGCAAAATGGATTTTACTTGAGTGTTGGGGCACGTACCTACGTGTATTAGAGAGCTAGATCATTGAAATTGAGGCTGATGCGATATTATTGATGTGATGTGTGCATATCACACACGTATGTCTATCTATGTGGGGATTTATTAACATTCGCCTCTTATATTTAACTTTTTCGTGGACCGACATAGAATTTATTACTACTGAAAAATTCACTTTACTTGCCGTATAAAGGTTGTGTTTTAAATTCTATATCATGAGTTTTATTCGTCGAGTCTGTTATGTTGGTGATACGTGCTGCTGCGCGCTGCAGTATCAACGATAATTTTTAAATAACAAATCACGAAAGGTTAGTTTACCTGGGCAATGTATTTTATATTACCATTATATAGTTTTTTAAATCATTCAAGATGGAGTATTCGAAATTATCAGAAGCGTGTGTTACAGTCTGCCATGTTCGATTGTTTAAAATATTCTCTTTTTATAACTTTTTTATAACTGACAAACTAGAACTGTTTCCTTCCTAGAAGTCGTAATTTCTACCAAGTAACTCATTTCGAAACTGACCGTCTTTTCATTGTGGGACTCTGTTTGGTGTTTATTGTTGGGTTTATTA